GTTTCAGTTTGCGCGAGCCTGCATTAGATGTCATGTGCTATTCAGTTTACATACTTGTACGGTTAGCTGTATGACGCGGCTTTTTACAACTAAGAAAGGAAATGATGGAAATAAGACTTTGAACATCTGCATTTAGTTGGTATTCAGTAAATAACAACCAAAGTAAGGTTCTGTAAATGGTTACAGTTTTCATAAATCTTTCCTCATCGTTTGTCTATCATTACCTCACGGTGCTGCCTTCTTTCGGGAATTGCGGTGCGCTATGCATACAATAGAAGCACTGGTTAACAGATTTGACATTATCTTACTGTTGCTTCTCTCCATTTACTCGTGCATTTTTTATTTAAACCAGTCACCGAAAAAATCATCGAATTTGTCTTCCAACAAAGATTCTCGTGGTAAAAGTGGCAGCCATCCGCCAAAGGAGGAAAAACCCAAAGACGAGTATGATAGTTAAACTTAACCAAATTTTTTACGAAAAGAGAAAGTTTTACTGAAATAGTGGGACAGGCGGTGGCCTAATGGTTAGCGCGCGGTACTCAGGTTGGGTTCGAGCCTTAGCCTTGTCACTGTGTTCTTGAGTAAAACAGCAAACCGAAAAAAAAAAAAAAGATAACCTCCAATGGTGTGGGCTTCTTGACTAAAAACTAGACTTATTTTCTTTTTCTTGTTTCCAGATTTCTTCTTTACCGCAGAATTTTAAGTATTTTACTGTGTCTTAGATAAGTTAGACAGAAGCGAAGGGCAGTAATTGCTTTTCATTTGGCGTACTTTTCTTGTTATCTAAGTAAAAAAAAGACAAAACATTAAACAAATTGGTGTGCAAAAAGGTTTACATTTGTGTAAAAAGTCATCCGGGGTCATCTTTTATTTAAATGGTTGTTACCTGTTGACAGAACTTACCATGAGATATTGACTCAAATAAAAGCTTTTCAAAATCACAAGTTTGATTTATTGTAATGCTCTATCCAGGAGGAAAGATGCAAATGCCAAAGATGGAAGTCGAAAAAAAGATGAGCAGGAAAGAAAAGGAAGTAAAGAAAAAAAGGTAATGACAGTACTCGTTGAAAGCAAACTCAGATACCTCACACTACAAATTATCAAACAAGTAGAAGTTATGACTAGGGTTTCTTAAAGTGCACACAAAGCAAACAGGTGGACAATTAGACATGGTTTGATGCTACTCTGGTTAAGGACTTAATGTAACCGGGGATTTACAATTTGGGTAAGTAGGGTCGATGACCAGGGGACCTTCATCTTCTAACCTGTGCCCAGTCTTCTGTGAAATGAGTGTCGATCGATAGATTGAAAGAGGAAAAAGGAGTTTTTCCTTTCTTTTTCACCTTCCATTCAAGCGCTTCATAACTTATTTATGTCTCTCTCTCTCMCGCGCGCGCGCGCGTGCAAGCTTCCAGGTACAGCTAAGAGACAACTGAGGACTTGGTAGCTACAATGAACCTAACCGGGTATTGAAAAGTAAATAATCTCATGGCTGACATGGGTCGGAGTGGGGAAGGGGGTAAGGGATGTGGGGGACGCAGACGGGGACGCGTCGAGCACGGCTAAAACCTATAATGGAAAGGGGGCTATCATAAGGAGATGATACTGTGTGTTTACTTTAATATGTGCAAATACCTGACTGCGTGATATTTTCATCACAACAAAGGCATGCTACACGTATTTTTATTTTGAAGCAAGCACCATTGTCTTCCAAAGAGAAGTCTGATTCAAAATCCCCTCCGAAAGGAAAAGAAGAAAYGMTMG